CAGAGACGTGCAATCGGAAAGCTTCATAGCTTTTTGGGTTCACTCAATTTCTTCTGCATGACCCTTTCTGGCCCACTCTGTACTCGCGGGTCGCCTTGATCCGACTTTGTGCCCAGGCTTGCCCGCCGTGCCCCACCCGGGCAACGCCAGGGTTGCGGGGCCTCCCGGTCCTTCTGGGCAAGAAGGCGGACGAGTTGAGTTTCTCACGGTGCTTTTGCCCTTGCCACATTGACATGGTCCTGTCTTGCAGACGTGGGCGCCGATTGAGCGCCCCATCGCCGTCAAGATTCCCGGCCAAGCTGCATGCTTAGCAACATCTCGGAGGGCACGTCATGTGTTGAGTCGTTTTCTGGGAAACTTGTGCCAAATTTCTGTGACAGATGGAGAAGATCGTGGAGAAGATTCCGGAGCCCTGCCCCGCTGCGCACCCAGCATGTCACCCATGTGCCACCTCTCCCCGTTTCCTCGGTTCAGCGGAGAAGGCACCGGTCTGTAAGGAATGTCCGTGGAAGCCATAGTGGCTGATCCTTTCTGTTGGCCGCTCCTGAGCCTTCTCGGAATGCATGCTGGGTCGAGAAGGTCCCACAGCTCATGAAGACAGTGAAGATGCCTGATGCTGTCGCACACCCAGCATTTCAACCGACGTCCATCTTCAGCCTTTGTGCTCGTGATGCCTTGTAGCCGGATGAGGTTGTCCAGGGGGTTTGTGCATTCAATGTTGTACTTGCATGTTTGCAGGCCTCCACAGGCAAGGCAGCAAAGAAGAGGCTGCGCACGGAGCTCAGTGCGGGTGAGGCACTGAAGCGAATGCTGGAGAAAACCCAGCTTCGTTGCCGTTTACCAAGCAAAGGCACAAGCTCGGCAGCTATCTTTCCTCCCAAAAATGGCGCCCTGTCCCAAGCCACCCACATTGCAGCGCTCGCCATCACACGGACTGCAAACCTGTACACTAGAGTTGAAACTCAACGGCCATCCACCGGCCTCGCAAAAGCAAATTAGTCAGGGAAAACAGACGTGGAAATCCACGAAAACCTAATTGCTGGCTCATAAAAAAACAAAAAGCGATTCCAGTACGCGCACAAGCTCATAATTGCAGAACAGTCCCTCCGCCGGCTCATGAATCTTGCGTTTCCTGTATTAGCACGGAAGCTCTAGGACAGTCCAGCAGCCGGTTTGTGAATGCGTCGGTTCCTGTAGTAGCTAGGTCAACTGTGACTAGTGGAAGTAGGACGGCACGGAAATTAGCCGGCTTACGTAAACCTGGATGCCGGTATAAAGCCAGCACTGAGGAGCAAAGAAAGTCCTGTCTTGAGCTCTGAAGATCAACGAAGGTCATGACTTACAAACATCGGCTCATGAAATCTTCGTTTCCTGACTGGAAATCTATGAGAATCTCACTGGCTCACGAACAGTGACAGTAGTGCAAACTACTCGTAACTAACACATTTCGCCGGCTCGTGAAACCTTGTTTTCCGTTACAAACGCCACAGCTCCAAGCACATCGCGGAATTGTCTTGGAAGAAGTTTAAACTTGAAACTCCAAATCTACCCGCGTGCATCCTTGGAAAAAGCTCCCAGCTTTCATGGATGAGTGTGTGCTGAGTCCGTGGAGGTCCTTAGCGATAGGAATCCAAGTGCCGAGGCATGGAACGCGGCTACTGGGGGGTCGAGTGAGAGGCCGTGGGATTTCGTGAACTCTTTACAAGCGACATGGTCTGAGCTGATTTTCAGGCCCCGACTTCGTACAGGCCAGGCCTCCAGCTTGCACGCGTGCTGGAACAGCATGTGAAGAATGCGCGGCTTTGTTGCATTCAGGATGAAGAGTGAGCAGCCAACGCTGCTGGGCATTGCCTGGTATGGACAGTCACAAAAATATTTTAGAAAAAACTATACAAAAAGATTGCCATTAACGTCTTCCAGCGGCCTTCGCGCTCGAGAAGGACCGGGATTCTGGCCCTTGGATTCCCACTGCTCCAGTGCAGGTAGAAGAAGAGAGTTAGAGACAGAGATGGAGAGGTGGAGAGACAGAACGACAGAGAGATAGAGAAAGAGACACATACATCTTTGTAGATTCACATACATGCGTATATGTATATGCATGTGCATATGTATGCGTATGTGTAAGTGTATGTGTGTATATGCATGTATACGTTTATGCATGTGTATATGTATATGTATGTACATGTTCATGTACATGTACACATACACATACCAGGCACATGTAATTAGTCTTATATGTAATGTTGAACCCAATAGATAGATAGATAGATAGATGTACATGCATATGTTGTGCACAATGTGTACTTGCATCTGTATGTGTGTGTATATGTGTGCGTGTCTGTGAATGGAAGAGCATCATGACAAGTAGTTATCCATGATAGGCGTCCAGAAACCCCTGTGTCTAGCCTATCGGTTTTGGGATACGGCCCTTTTCGTAGACCCTGTCCGCCCTCCATGCGCACACCTATCCGTGTCGCCTGTCCGCAACTAGATAGTATGACCAGGACCTATCTGGACGTTTGAATTGTGGAGGAGGTCGCTGCCAGTGCTCAGCCAACATGCGCCTGCCTAAAAATCCAACCTGGTAGGGGCAATGGACCCGACTCCTGTCGAACATGTGCGGCTCTGAGGGGGCTCGTCTGCCTTCTGTACGTTCAAAAGAGAAGATCCGACATGAAATTCATGGGCTCAATCCGTTCATGGATGGCCTTTTCGGACAGTGGTGGGATGATCGGTGTAGTTGTCCGCATTTCTGCAACTGTTAACTAACTGCTAGCACGCTGTAACCAGGTGGCACCGAATTCGGCAACGAGCATACGAAAAGGCTGGGCCACTGTGGACGACCTGTAATTACGCATATTGTTCTGTGATTCGCCTGATATGCTGCGTGCAAAGCATTCGAATGAGCTCGACCAGGTCTCAGTGACGCAGGGCCCAACGAAGGCCGAACCGATCTCACACAGCGTCGCTAGCTTTTGTTTCTTTAGATGTGAGTCTTCCGGGGTTCGAAGGGTGCAGTATTCACGGCTTTTTTTCGGCAGGCCCGAGCAGCTCCTTGATGCCTGCCAACTGCCTGATTTGGCGGAGGAAGATCAGCGGCCAATGCCGCTGGATGAGAGCAAGAAACAGAAAAAAATTAGAAAAAAACACAAAAAGCATGAGCACACATCGTGCACGTGTGCCGCGACCTCAGCTCTTTCGTGGATCGTGCAGAATCGAGAGACGCTGAGAACTTGGAGCATCCGCAACGGCCAGGCTGTCTTCCAGAAATAGCCTTCGCCTGGCTGCTTTCTCCTTGCAGAAGGAGACCGGATGTTTGGCGCCTGAATTCCTATTGCTTGTTTGCAGCAAGAGAGACCGGAAAGAACGAGAGCGAGATCGAGACAGCGACCTGCGGACGGACAGACGGCATGTCGAGGGGGCAAAATATGCCGTACTTGTATCCCCCTAGATCGAACTCCTCCCCGCCAAAGTAGCCTTTTGTCGCAGAACCCTGGGCATGGCTTCTTCGTCTTGGTGTTCGCCCGGATCTTGGATTCCTACACCCTTCTGTCAATAATCCTTCTCGGATGCACGGGCGTCTATCTGGGATGACAGCATGACGACCGCGTCAGGGCCCATCATCAGCGTGATTGGGCTGAGCGCTCCGGCCTGGCCCTTATGGGGTCTCTCCATTTCGGGGACCGGTGGGTGAGTATTTGCATTTTGCCGAGAACTCTTCTGCAACAGAGGTGCAACAGATGGCGCCATGTTTCAAGGCTCGGCGCAGCCGTCCTTCAACCGCTTAGCTCTCGAAGTTACCGGCAAGTTTGCTGCACGGACGTGACTTTTTGAGGCTGCCTGAAGCAAAACGCCGGGGACTTGGGAGTTCAGCCATTCGAGGGAGCGCTTGTGTCCAAGAGTCCAAGCCCAAGCCCAAGCACTACTCGTACCCCCTGAAAAATGAAGCACTGCTCGGCTCGGAGTTTATGCTTGACCCTGAGAACAATGCAGCCTTGGGCTCCGCAAGGCTTCAAGCCTGAAGCCTGATTCACTGATCCTCCCCTGCGTGAGGTTCCAAACCATGCCTGGCGACCTGGTGTGGCGAGGCCGGTGACGTTGATCCTGATTCATACAGGCATGCTCTCTTCCATTTGTGAATGCGCATTGTTGGTGCTAGCCATCATCAGCTCTGCAATCGGGTGAGGGGATTTGAGGAGCACGGGGAGGGATGAGGGAGGTGGGAGGGAGAGGCAGACGGAGGAGGAGATGGTGGCTAAATTTGGCTGCTGCCTTTTTCTTCAGAGAGCAGTAGTCTGTTGCTTGTGCTGGCGGGTGCCATATACGATTCATGCATCCTGCAGTGTGGCTGCGGCAGGGCCGAAGACCGGCGCTCGCCCGGCAAACAAACGCCTGGCAGAGGCGCGACGAGGGTCAGGGCCGGTAGCTTGTTCTGGTCTTGTGCTCAGGGGTCGCGGCTCAATGACTCCAAGTATCATCGCTCTAGTCCGGCAAATCTCTCTCACCCACGCTTGGTTTGGCCCCGGTCCCCCTGAGTGATTTGCACTGCGCAGAAGTGCAGAGTCTCTTCACCATCGATCTGGAGGCCCCCATGTCCCACGTGCACTAGGTTGAAGAAAGCTAGGCATGGGTGCCGCCTCCAGGAGTTCCGCTTCATCGAGCACTGCGGCGCGATGATGGGTTTCCTCTGCAACTCGTCAAGAAGGGACTGCAGCCTTTATGCCACATGATCGTGATCGTCGTCATGAGCTTGCTAATGCGCCTATCATCAAGGTCATATTCTGTTTTGACTATCATGCCTATCAGGCGTTTCGCGGCCAGCCCAGATCGTCAGCAGCGTCGTCAGTATCGTCATCGTTGCCGTTGCCATCAGCATTAGTAATTAGTATCATGATCAGCGGTGTAAGCATCATACTCCAAGCTACAGGCACATATTGATTTCGACCGCCATGTCGTTCGTAGTTGATGCAGCGCCTGCATCGTCGAGAGGTAGATGGCACATGAATGACTCTCCAGGTGGCCTCCTGCAGTTCATAGCCTTCAACAATCTTTCTGACGAGGGCCGCGCGATCTTCCTCCCGGCCACAGGTCGTAACTTCAGTGATGTTGAGAGGTTTGCTGTTCTCCAGACCAGGACTTCTTTGCATAGCTCCTTACTTTTACCGTCGGTTCACAGCACGGAAGGGCCCCTGGGCCAATCCAGAGCCTGAGAAGCTGTTGCTCTTTTGGAGGCTTCTTGCTGGGCATTGTGACGAACTGGTTCCTCCCTCAGAGGCTACAGGTGAAGTCGCAGAGCGCTCTGCGACTCTGAGATTGTCCAGGCTGGCCATCCTCATGGTCTTCAAGCCTTGCTTCCCAACACCCATCCGGACAGAGAAGAGAGAGAAGAGAGGCGAGGGGTTTGGGAATGTGAGATTGGATCGCTTGGAGCTCGCAGGATCTGTGGCTGGCACATCTGCAACATCCAGGCCCTGGCATCAGAGTCGTAGAGCCGCAGCAGGCGTGTGCTGATCTCAGGGTCTCTTCCTGAAGCGACAGCCTGCGCCATCCTCGGATCGCTCGAAGACTCGAGGGGTCGCTTGGAGACACACAGCGCCTCGCTCCAGGAGGTCTGCGTGCTCTATGCCAAGATGTTGAAGGAGAGCTGTTCGGATTTGTTGTTCCTTGCGAGTCAGGAGTGCTAAGGTGCTACCGAATACTGCATCCCTCTGTCCACGGGTGCAGGAGAACTTCCTCTCCTTCAACAAGATCATCGGCAGCTTGGCCGCATGGGGAAAGTCAAACCCGGGCCACGCTTTCGATCCCGAGGCTATCTGCAGACGCTCCCCGAGTGCTGTCCTGAAGTCTGGGTTGTGCAGATTCCGTGTCGGAGACAACGCCCAGAGCCAGCAAAGCAAAGCAGCTTGAACGACAAGCTACCCTGAGGCTTTGGGAGAAGCTGAAGGCAGCGTATGTGGCACACTCCACGGCCGTGCTTCGGGAGACCCTAGGCGGGCCCCACGCACTGACAAGACCTCTGCAGCACCTTGAGGATTTACAGTTCAGGTGGTTTGGGGTTTTGCGTGGACTTTCGGCTTTTGGGGCTTGAAGAGTTTAGGGATTGGGATGGTAGGCTTTATTCGGGTGCTAGGGTTTAGGGCTGAGGGCTTTGTCGTTCAAGTTCTTTCAGGGTTTGAAGCTTCGGGGCTTTAGGAGCATCACTGCTACCTGACGACGAGGACGACAAAAGCTGCGCAGCTAGTCACCATCGTCGCAACTAGACGAGACCGACTGCTTTAGCGGCCGCAGCCGACCCAGTACAGTAGGATCATGAGCTGCAGACATACTCGTCGGCGTTGCCCCCACCTTAGCATCGTCGTCACCATCCTCATCATCCACAACATGATCATCGCTTTATCTCGAGCTGAGCGCGCGACCAGGTCATGTGAGGGCCCATTGATGGGCTGGCCAAACCCTTTAAGGAGTCATGGGCCAGGCTCAGCCACCTGGTTCGCGCAGTGGACCATCGGCAAAGAGGGGCACCGGCCCAAGAGCTGGCGCTTCCTTTTCCCTTCGCTTTTTTTAAACAAAAAGCCCGAGGTACAGGGACTTGGAACAGGACCTCAAGGCCCGGACCTTCACGGGATGAGGGGGGGAGTCTGGGAGTCTGAGTTCTTGCTGCCTGTTCAGAGGTCGCCATGGTCGACGGCCTCTACCGCGCGCATCGTCTTCACAAGGCCCCCCAGTTCCGTGCGAAGCCGAAGTCAGGAATTCGTCGGCGAAATGTCACAGCGGAAAGAAAACTTACAAGTCTTTGCAGTGTCGTGAATTCGGCCATATTTGCTTGCGGGGCACGCCGCAAATTACCGCTCAGTGTTAGAGAGCAAGATGATCATTTTGTTTGGACCAAGCCTGATTGAACTTGGAAAGCTTTCATGCATGACATGCAGTGGTTTGGTCGCCGCATTTGCATTGTAGTTTCTTGCGGGGACATCATGCGGATTTGACATCGGATCCTTGATGGTCCTGACTGCATCTGAAGCCATGCATCCACTGGAGCATCCAGCTGTCTCCAGCCATCCCATATAAATATAAATATGAATATAAACGCATATATAATATAACGGAATCTATAATATGACAGACTATAATATGTGCAGCAGAATCCCTCGGAGTCCTCGCAGAATTGAGTCGAAAGCCCCCAGCTACAGAAATCCAGGGCAGATGTCACAGATCGTCACGCGAAATTTCTGTCAGGGACTGGCAAGGAATGACAGGATTGTCGAATCAGAGTAAAATAAAATTATCACCAGCATCATAACAATCGTCGAAGTCAGAAGATGCCCAGAGACCAGGGGATGAATCAGCAGTGTTCCGAATCTGGGTCTGAAGAGTGGGACCCTGGGAGCTGGAAAGCACTCGTCAGTGTCTCTCACTGACACTCTCACTCTCACTCTCTCTCTCTCTCTCTCTCTCGTTCTCTCCTGCCGCATGTCCGACCGTCCGATGGTGGGAGGTGTCCGCCCAGTACATCTCGAAGGTGACGGACATCGAAGCTCGAAACAGGGAGTGTCTCCAGCGCATGTGGGGGCCCCACGCCGTGCCAGCGTGGCAACCCGACGAGCGACGCCACTCAGCAGGCCGGCCGACGAGTTCGAGAATCTGCTCCACCCTGTCTTTCAGGAGGATGCCGGGGCCCAAGGCCTTGGGCCCTCAGAGCCGCTCCCGAGAGACGCTGTGTTCTATGTTCCCGCTTCTGTGCTGAGGAGTGGATCCTGATCCTTCTCGGGGGAATCCTTGGGGCAATCGTGGGGATCGTGCAGGTGCACTCTGACTCTCCTCTCTCTCCTCTCCACCTTTTATGGCTTTTGGGTTTTGCCAGGTCTACTGCCTCTCCGGCTGAGCTGCGAAGCCCTCACTTCTCCGCAGTTACAGAAATGCTTTGAAAGACGTCTCTCTTGGAGCCTCTGCTCTCCATAGCGGGAGGCAGTTTAACTTGCAAGTTGCCTGCCAAAGGCAAGCAAGCGACCTAGGAAACGCCTAGGGCCCCAGGCCAATTCGGGGGTCGTTCTGAAGTACCGGTACATCCAACCCAAAGTCATTGAAGCGGAGATGGTAGTCATGCGACCAGAACCTCCGAAATCCAAGTGCACAACTCTGTCTTAGCTTGCAAGTGTTAATCCGCGTAAAAACAAACAGAGCTGCAATATGGCATCATGCCCCTCCAGCTCCCAGGGCCTTCGCAGACTGACGTAGAGGGAAATTGACATTCTCTCTCGCTGGCAGTATCGAGGCGGAGGGCGGGGAGCTGTCACCTCACTGCCGTTACGACGACGACGACGACGACGACGGCTCGCGGGGCGAATCCTGCTCCTGCCACCGCAACCGCCTCTATGCCTGCTGCTGCTGTCCACACTGCGGCGACACTACAACGACGACACGGCCATCGCGCTTTCAAACGCAATCCCACCAAGTTGTTCGGGACTTCCCTGAAGCAGCTGCAGCTCTAGAAAAATCTCCTTGGCAAAGAGCTGCAGCTTCTCACAAGTTATTACGACCCAGCGGTAAGAGGCTAAAGCACAGAAGCATTGAAAACTGGTGGCACGAGGTGGCAATATGCATCTTTTCATTCAGTTGGAATAGAATAAGCCCAGGCACCAACTGCAAGAAAGAGATGTGTCAGGTCATATCAATTCATCAATTTGGCGGAGGAGGTACTTGCCCAGATATTGAGGTGTTTCCTGTGGTGCCAACTCGGCGCGCCGACCACCCCTCTCGCCACACCAACCTGCAAACTCATCACAGAGCGCTGCGCACAGGCATCCAGGTTTCCAAGTAGATTGACAAAGGCAATTTGGCAACTGAATGGAACTCAAACCGCGAGAACAGCAGCAGCTTGGACAATGCCATGAGCGACAAATACGTCACGATTGAGCAAGGATAGAGTAGTAGTTAATGGGGTCTCAAGTAGTAGCAGCCATGACCATAAAGGCCGGCGCAAGCATCGTGCAATTCTCATCTTCGAACCGGATAGTTTAGAACAGCTCCTTGCGATGGCCCAGAAGAAAAAAGCACAGGAGAGGAGGCCTGGGATGGGATCCATTCCGGTCCCGACGGGCCGAGGACTCCCCTGCCCTCCTGCCCCGGCGTGCGAAGCGTCGCAAAAAAGCATGAATGTGCGCCTTTGTGTGTCTTTGAAGTCTGCTGATACTCAAGCGAAGACCACGAGGCGAGAAGTTCCGGGAACTTAGTTCACCAGAGGCTCAGTGTTGCATTCACACGTTGTGGACGCCCGATGCTCGGCTCAAAGGCGTCGTTTGAGTGACTCAAAGCAGTCTGCCCCGTTTCCTCGAAGGCACTTGTCTGTACGGAATGTCACTGGGAAGCCATAGTGGCTGATCCTTTCTGTTGCTCCTGAGCCAGGTTGACGTGTGGAAGGCCTTGCGCCCAGAACGTCATTGCAGATGAAGAGCAAAAAAATGCGGCATTTCGCTTCGCCAGCCGCGCAATAGATTGCAGGGGGCTGCACATGGTGTCAGCTGAGGATGCCGGGGCGTGCCAAAGTCAAAGCCCCAGCATGGGCGGCAGGAATGCAGCAGACTGGGTGCGGGTCGGTGATTGTTGGGCGTAGGTCGCTTGCCCAACGCGCTCCACCCCGGGGCTGCCGGGCTTGCTGGGCTCGTTCAAGGCAGAAGATTGAGAACGCATTGCCACCGTGTTGCACATATTCTTGGGCTGCAGACCTGGGCAAAGATCGAGTGCACCACTCCCGTTAAGATTCCCGGCGCGGTGTGCTTAACTTCCCGGATTGCGTCTTTTCTGCAGCCTGCTCTTCTCGGAATGCGTGCTAGGTCGAGAAGGTCCAAAAGCCCTTGAAAACAGTGATGCCTGATGCTGTCGCACACCCAGCATTTCAACCGGCGTCCATCTTCAGCCTTTGTGCTTGTGATGCCTTGTGGCGGATGAGGTTGCCCAGGGGCTTTGTGACATTGTGCATTCAATGTTTTGGATTTTTTTTGCAGGTCCAATGCTCCTTCACAGCAGTCACGAAAGTGGAAGCTCCCGCGTGCTTGGGCTGGATGCTAAGCGGGAAGATTCAGGGATCATCGAATTTCGCAGACAAGTGACGTTGGCGACCTATGTGATTCGATTCATTGCTTCATGTCAACGGGATAAAGAAGAACATTTCACGAGAAGCCAACGTACAGCGCATGGCATGGATGCCGCTGTTGCTGTCCTCCACAGGCAAGGCAGCCACGAAGAGACTGCGCACGGAACTCAGCGCGGGTGATGCACTGAAGCGAAGGCTGGAGAAAACCCAGCTGGGTTGCTGGTTGCCATGCAAATGCACAAGCTCGGCAGCTACCTTTCCTCCCAAAAAGGCGCCCTGTCCCAAGCCGCCCGCATCGCGGCGCTCGCCATCCCACCGCCTGGAAACCTGTAAACCAGAAATGGAACTCAACGACCATCCGAACGCCGGCTCATGAAACCATCGTTTCCATTCCTGACTGAAACTCTATGAAAATCCTGCTGACTCACGAAGCCTTCGTTCCTGTACTGCACAGTGACAGTAGTGAAAATGAACTAAAAAAGTTCGCCGGCTCATGAAACCTTGCTTCCCGCTACAACGCCACAGCTCCAAGCACATCGTGGAACTTTTTTGAAGAAGTTTGAAGTTTAAGCTTGAAACTCCAAACACGTCTATCCGTGTCCATCATTGGAAGGGGCTCCCAGCTTTCATGGATGAGTGTATGCTGAGTTCGTGGAGGTCCTTGCGCTAGGAATCCAAGTGCCGAGGCATAGAATGCGGCTACTGGGGGGTCGCGTGAGAGGCCGTGGGATTTCTTGAATCCTTTACAAGCGACGCGGATTGAGCTGATTTTCAGGCCCCAACTTCGTGCCGAGGCCTCCAGCTTGCACGCGTGTTGGAACAGCGCATGAAGAACACGCTGCTCTGTTGTATTCAGGAAGAAGATTCAAGAGTGAGCAGCCAACGCTGCTGGTGCAAGATTGCACCCTTCAACAAGACAAAGGCTCCAAGAATCCATACAAAAATAATCCTGCCATGACCTTCGGCCAGCGGGCCTTGTCGCTCGAGAAGGACCGGGATGTTTGCGCTTAGATTCCCACTGCTCCATTGCAGGAAGAATCGAGAAAGAGACGGAGAGGTGGAGAGATATGGATCGAGAGAGAGATAGAGATATGTCATACATGTTTGTCGGTTCACAGACATGTATATGTATATGTGAGACCCCTGTGTTTAGCCTATCGGTTTTGGGATACGGCCCTTTGCGTAGACCCTGTCCGCGCTCCATACGCATACCTATCCGTGCCGCTTGTCCGCAAGTAGATAGACCTTTAATGACCAGGACCTATCCGGACGACTGCATTGTGGAGGAGGTCGCTGCCAGTGCCGATTCAGTCTACACCTGCGCAAGAATCCAACCTGGTATAGGGGCAATGGACCCGACTCCTGTCGCACACGTGCGGCTCTGAGGGGGCTCGTCTGCTTATGTCTGCGAAGATCGGGCATGAAATTCATGGGCTTGCACCGTTCATGAATTGCCTTTTCGGACAGTGGTGGGATGATCCTGGTAATTAGTCCTCCCAGTCCACTGGCACGCTGTAACCAGGCGGCACCGAATTCGGCAACGAGTACACGAAAAGGCTGGGCCACTGTGGACGACGTGTGATTACGCATATCGTTCACTGTTTCGATTGGTATGCTGCTTACCACATGAGTCTGAGGAATACATAAAGAATAGAGGTCTTGTGCATGGCATACGACCGAGCTTGACCAGGTCTCAAGGGCGCAGGGCCCAACGAAGGCCGAACCGATCTCGCATGTCTTCGCTAGCTTCTTCTTTACTTTGTGAGTCTTAGGGGGTTCGACGGGCTCAGTGGGGAAATTGGGCATCAGAGTGAGCCTCGTGCAGCACCCACTGCTTCTTTTCGGCAGGCCCGAGCGGCTCCTTCCTGATGCCTGCCAGCCGCGCGTGATTTGGCTGGAGGAGATCAGCATGCGGGATGACGCAAAACTCGGCCGTTTGTGCTGGCACAACTTCGCAGGCTCTCGACAGCAAATGAACTCGGATGACAGTCCGAAGAGGCAAGGTTGCCCGTTGTCCAGAGCGGCAGAACGTTGTGCTTGCGGGTTGAGGGTTAAGATTTTTCGGGACGTGAGGCAAAGGAGGCTTTGGGTGTCCTGTGCGTACCGCCCGGCTGGTGGTGCTGGTGCAACTTCGCAGGAGCTCCAAAGCGGTCGATGCTGCACAAAGGGTTGCGGTGCCCTTGCATCTGTTCGGAGCTTGATGGCTACGACACTGCGTGAACACGTGGACGCCTCGGTCTCCCTGCCGTGCATTCTCGAGTCTAGGCGGTGGTATCGCACACATACATGCTCTGATGTGTTGGAACGGCTTCATGCGTTTCGCATATTCACTCTCCGTACGGCATCGACCAGACTTCAGCGTAGACGATGGGACACAGTGAAAGTCTCAGCTGTGATTCTGTTTTCTCATTGTTCGGTCGTCGCCGCTGCTGTAGTACCAGTGCGTCGGCAATGCTTCCGGTTCTGATTGTGCCAAGGCAAGTCTTCTGAGAGATTATGGACGGCTTCATGGTCAGGACCCGCCGGGGCATTCGGCTTGCTTTCTGCACCACCGGGCAGAGGGAGTTCGCCCAAAGCTCCGACAATGACTTCGGGGCGGGTTGGACGGACTTCGGCTCTGGAGACATCCGCATGGCGAATGCTGGCTACCAAGGCTTGCGAAACTGCAAGCCGGGGTGGCTACCAGTAGTCAGTATTGTAGTGCTCAAGCGGTCACTGCCGGCAATATCCCCACAGATGCTGCTGCCGATTGGAGTGCTTCGAACTTCTACAACCAAGACGGCGCTGACACTTGGCCCATCATCCTGGTCTCCTGCATCTACGTGACTACAGGCACGCCCTTTGGTCAGTTGACAAGACGTCCTTTCCAAGATCACTTTTGGCTGCAGCTTATGCGGGGGCCGGCGAGTGTGAGACCAGTGCTGAAGGCAGAAAAGCTTGCGGAGGGCTCTCAAGATGAATGGCAACCAAGTCCTGAAGGCTTGATGTTGAAGCGCGATGAGTGGGCTTGCCACGGCCTTGAAAGATGCTGAAAAAGTTTGCCTTCAGTCCCTGAGGCCGAATGGAAGACAGCATGAGGGCCTGCAAAGGTGTGAACTTGACCCTCTTCAGCATGTCCTCTCCAGCAGGGGGTTGGCCGAAGCCCGTCGTGGTAGATCCATGTTGAAGTGGCGGGCTTCGCAGAAAAACCAATCGGTTGAAATATGCATGTGCAAACGCTGTGACCTTGTCATGGGTTTGAGCATGACATGCCTTCCGGCTTGGGTTGGGCTACTGGCAGCGGGAAGCCCAGATCTGCTTCAGATTTGCTTCATGCCAGCAAGACTCGGAATCAGTTGAGGTCGGTGCTTTCACTGTCACCACTGCGATCACAAAGATGCTGGCCCTCCAAGGATCCCCCAGAAAGGGGGCATCGACAACTGGTTGCGAGATTATGGAAGATGTCTCAAGATGGCGACAAGTCCAAACTTTCGCAGTGCGACGGCCCATTCTCGTGACCGACTCGGCCTCCTTGGCTCTGCAGTGTTTAAGTTTGGAGGACAGGTTCCACTCCGGCACCAAATAATTCCACGTCAATCCAATGACTTCGTGTGCATACACTGTACTGAAATTATTGAAAACATCCCAAAAGCCCAAAAGCCTTCAACATGTAATACGTTAATACGGCAAAGCCCTGGAAGACGGCGCCATGGCTGGCAAGCCCATGGACGAGTTTGGCGCATACGTCGTGTTGGGACTCTCCGAAGGCTGCACTTTCACTTTGCTGGTGTTTGGAGGGGCCGTACTGGAATCGGAGAGACGTATATACATATGGTTATATGTAAATATATGTATATAATATATATTATATAATATAGAATATAGAATATAGAATATAATATAGAATTTAATATATAATATAATATATAATATATAATATATAATAGATAATATATAATACAATATATATATATGGTCACCCCCCCCCCCCCCAAGATCCACACCCTCTCTGTCCCTCTCTCTCACGCATAACCAAGCGTTTCGAACCTACCTTCTCCATGTGCAGAAAGTGCTGTAAATACCAGCGGGAACGGCTTCTCTGTAGAACAGCTCCTTTGCTCATAGCATGTCTACAAACTCTTGACATCGAACATTTTGCACACCAGGATCTGGTTCCGAAATCAATGGCTTAGTGGGAGGCAGAGTGCCAACACCAAAATACCGCCAAGGAACCAAAGGCATGACATAACTTGTATTTTTGGAAAAGACTGTTGATATACCACTAGTGCCAACACCAAAATACCGCCAAGGAACCAAAGGCATGACATAACTTGTATTTTTGGAAAAGACTGTTGATATACCACTACGCACAATAGTATGCTGTCACTATCAATTTGATTTGACAGCCAAGATTCAGTGAGAGTATAACAGTATAACACTTTACAAGCATTAGTGTTGAAAAGTGCTGTGCAGTCCTTTCCATTTGGGCTTGGGAAAACCCAATTTTAAGGACAGCACAGCACTTTTGACGCTCAGGTGCCCTAAAGTGCTGTACTGTCCCTAAAAGTTGGGTTTGGCAGAAGCCAAATTTAGGGACAGTACAGCACTTTTGAAGCTCAGGTGCCCTGAAGTGCTGTACTGTCCCTAAAATTTGGCTCTCCCAAGCCAAAAGTGCTGTACTGTCCCTAAAAAACCTAAAAAACCTATCCCCCAGCAACCTTCAGGCGTTCCCAGCCGATAGTCTCTGGAGGATAGGTTTTTTAGGTTTTTTAGGGACAGTACAGCGCTTTCGGCTTGGGAAAGCCAAATTTTAAGGACAGCACAGCACTTTTGAAGCTCAGGTGCCCTAAAGTGCTGTACTGTCCCTAAAAGTTGGGTTTGGCAGAAGCCAAGTTTAGGGACAGTACAGCACTTTTGAAGCTCAGGTGCCCTGAAGTGCTGTACTGTCCCTAAAATTTGGCTCTCCCAAGCCAAAAGTGCTGTACTGTCCCTAAAAAACCTAAAAAACCTATCCCCCAGCAACCTTCAGGCGTTCCCAGCCGATAGTCTCTGGAGGATAGGTTTTTTAGGTTTTTTAGGGACAGTACAGCGCTTTCGGCTTGGGAAAGCCAAATTTTAGGGACAGTACAGCACTTTTGAAGCTCAGGTGCCCTAAAGTGCTGTACTGTCCCTAAAAGTTGGGTTTGGCAGAGGCCAAGTTTAGAGACAGTACAGCACTTTTGAAGCTCCAGTGCCCTAAAGTGCTGTACTGTCCCTAAAATTTGGCTTTCCCAAGCCAAAAGTGCTGTACTGTCCCTAAAAAACCTAAAAAACCTATCCCCCAGCAACCTTCAGGCGTTCCCAGCCGATAGTCTCTGGAGGATAGGTTTTTTAGGTTTTTTAGGGACAGTACAGCACTTTTGGCTTGGGAAAGCCAAATTTTAGGGACAGTACAGCACTTTTGAAGCTCAGGTGCCCTAAAGTGCTGTACTGTCCCTAAAAGTTGGGTTTGGCAGAGGCCAAATTTAGGGACAGTACAGCACTTTTGAAGCTCCAGTGCCCTAAAGTGCTGTACTGTCCCTAAAATTTGGCTTTCCCAAGCCAAAAGTGCTGTACTGTCCCTAAAAAACCTAAAAAACCTATCCCCCAGCAACCTTCAGGCGTTCCCAGCCGATAGTCTCTGGAGGATAGGTTTTTTAGGTTTTTTAGGGACAGTACAGCGCTTTCGGCTTGGGAAAGCCAAATTTTAGGGACAGTACAGCACTTTTGAAACCCAGGTGCCCTAAAGTACTGTACTGTCCCTAAAAGTTGGGTTTGGCAGAGGCCAAGTTTAGAGACAGTACAACACTTTTGAAGCTCCAGTGCCCTAAAGTGCTGTACTGTCCCTAAAATTTGGGTTTGGGGAAGCAGAATTCAGGGACCATTCTACTCTAAGTTTCTTGCTGGAACCGTGAATGTTGCGGCAAAGATTGTTGGATGTGGACGATCTAATTATTTTCAGTACGAACATGAGTCCGACGTCTCGGCAAACCATGCGGAGCAGGACTGATGCATGATTGCTTCGGTGCTTATCTCCTATATACCCTATACAAGCCTTTTAGAATACCATCTGGAATACTTTACAGAATGTCCTATAAAAACCCTATGAAGGATATTCCCCTTATACCTTGCATATGCCCTTGAGAATCCCCTGTGGGATATCCGACAGAAACCGTATAGATCACGATTTACTTAGGGTAAATCAGAAGGAGCCCACGCTTTATGCAGCTTATTGGGTGCGAACGGACTGCGATGCCTTGTCAAGTTCTAAGGTGTCACTATAAGAGCTGTGAGCAAGACCGTGTAAAGTGCAAGAGAAGGGGGCACGCTACGCGTCCCTCGACTCTAAGGGGGCACGCTACGCGTCCCTCATCTTTACCGTTCTATGTGACCGCCCACGCAACGTTTGGCTCAAGGCTCAAGTCAATGCCCATAGCTAAGTGCTATATGTGTCTTCTATCCTGAGCAATCAGAGCTATCCCGTTGCACAGACGAACCGCCGCCGGCAGTGAGTGCAAAAGGAACGGCCGCCGGTTCTGCCTGCATAGGATTGCACGTGTGGAAGTGTAAGAGAGACAGGGTCCAGTCTGTGGAGAGTGCAAGCCAGCCACACCTACATTCATTACAGCTCTGGTGGGGAGAGCAGCAACCTAGTCGAGATCAATCCCCCACGCAGGTTATCAGCCGTACGCGGCTCTGCCTTTCTACAGCAACGACTACTTGATCTACTACGACCACAATGAACTCGGGATCAAGCCAAGATACGACAATGACTTTCGGTGCCGATGTGGCAGCGCCAGCCGTTGGTGAGTCAACAGCTGATGACACAGTGGTGCAATCCGTTGATAGCTCCACGGAAGATGACAAAGGTCAATCTTCTGCGCTTGCCATTGCAAAGGCAGTTCCCAAGGTGAAAGCAAAGAGTCTACCAAGAGCATCTACGCCTTCGCGTCCGACATCCACAGGTTCGAGGACGGGCAAGGCTCCCGAACGACGAGCCGAAGCGTCTGGTTTTCAGGCACCTCGGACTACGTCCAGGGCCAAGGACAAAGGAGTGAAGACCTTGGAAAAGAAGTCAAGACCATCATCTTCGAGAAGCTCTTCAGCACGATCGAGGACTTCGGCTACTCGTGGGCGTGACAAATCCATGACTTGGAATCGGATGGTTACCAATCAACCACGTGATGCTGACGATCTGGATATGACTCTGGACACTATCCCAGCACGTGGTGATGCGTCATCGGTGACCACGCCAGCCATAGCCGATGGTCCGAATGCCTATCAGGAACTGACGATTTCGCAACAGCTCGAAGCATCTAACCTTGCGCAGCAGATGTACTATCGCAGTCAGATGCAAGAATACGAAGGAGTTGTTCAGACCCTGATGGACAAGATCAAGGAGATGCAACAAGAAGATGAAGGATCTGGAATTCGCATTGAAGAATTGGAACGACAACGTGACCATGCATGCTTAGCCATGAGGCACATCAACAATGTCAATCAGGAGATGAAGCGAGACTATGAAACAGCTTTGTTTCGCATGGATGAACAGAACTCTGCTCAACAACGTCAAGCACATGCCGTTGCCGAGGAGTTAGCTCAACAGCTACACGTGTTCCGCACGGAGGCAGCCACTAACTTTGTGCAGTTGGAGGCAAGAGCGCAAGGCGATGGTGAGCTTATGGCACGTGAGTATGAGCGTCTGACTCATGAACTTCATGAACATGCCAGAGAGAACTTGGTCCTCCGGTCAAACACAGCAAGTTCGGAACAAGCCTTACAAGCAATGCAGGAACGATTCCACTTGGTCAAGAACCAGGAGTTGCGGGCCGTGAACGAGATCCAAGGGCTAGCTGGAAACAGCGCAGCCATTGATCAAGAACGATTTCGGCTTCGCGAACGTCTTGGTGAAGAGGAAGAGTACCGCAAAATGGCTGTGAAGAGGATGCAAGAAGCAGAGGACCGACTTCATCAGAATGAAGATCATGCAAGGCGATCATTGCCTACCTTGCACGACGAGCTGAGTGAACTCAGG